ATATATATATATAATTTAGAAAATTAAAAGGAGTCCTTTTTTATACATTTTTCTACAATTTTATAAAATTTAAACCCTAACAAAAAATTTTATTAAAATTTAAAGGTCAATTTAAACTTTGTCTGCTTTTCATCCACTCTGGGGTTATTTTAAGTCTTAACTTGGCCACAACTTTATCCTTGTTTCAGCAAATAGAATGATTTTTGGTGACAAATCAAAGGAATCTAGGCTCATTAATGATACATACCCGTATATACATTTCTGGAGATCATGAGACACATTCTAGAAGGTAAATTTTTCACAAATCCACCAGAGGGCACTGTGTACGCTTTTTCAGATCTCAAATTTCTCTCGCGAGTGCCATTCGTGCCTGCTGTTCTCTCGTATAGTAGATTTTATCCTCTGTTGAAATTTTGAAGAAACTTGAAAACCGGTATCCACTAACATGCAATAAACATAACTAACATAGGTAAATGGTTTTCAGCTTTCATCAAATAATTTTCTTTTGTACTTAACAGAATAAAGAAAGACAAACAGGTTTAAAAAATGAAGGATGAGTAAATAATAAGGGTGTCAAAATTAATTGTTTCTTTGTTGCACCGCGATGCAGACGCGGACAATTCGGTATCGGTTCAGTAATAATCATAACCGGTTATTGTGTACTGACATCATTTATCTATTATGCACTATGTCACCGTAGGTGAGCGCAAGTAATTACAATCCGCCAACAATTTAAAAACACAGAAACTGTGCACAATTTCACTGCGAGTGTGTTTGCTGGACGGTCTTTCACTGAAACTTACAGCAGAAGCCCCTATTTCACTGCGAGTGAGAGAATGAAAGTTAACTCCATTTCTCTCTCTCTCTCTCACTGTGGCCCATTTGACCTGCTGGCGTGACTTTTTCTCTCCTCTCGGCTGTTACAGCAATACTTCTGGACACAGACACAAGCGCTTGTCTGCAGAGTTTCCTCCAACGTTTCTATTATGAATCAGCTGTGATAGCCGCTGCCGTTTATCAGTGTCACTCATCTGTAAAGAGCGCCAGCTCTTTCTGTTGAGCGTGTGACCAATAGGGGTGTAAGAAATAACTTGGTAGACAAGGCTCAGAAAGCGTGCAGTATATTTATATTTGTTCATTTGCTGTAGGTGCTCGTGATGTTTAAAGGTACAGTTTATATATTGACAGTTTGTATTAAAGAACAAAATTTTATTACAAATAGTATATAAATATATTTATACATTTTAATACAAGAATTGCTGTGCTGTGAAGAAAATATAAAAATGTGTATGGAAAACATTGTCAATGCACGGTGATGCACCAAGACTTCAGTTTCCCTAACGTATAATCTCTGTAACAGATGGAGAGCTGTACGAGATCAAAGCTACAATGACACTGCTGTTACTGCTGTTAAACGCTGGATCCGACATGTGTATAAACATGCAACAATGTGCAGCCATGTGAAATGATCATAGGCCTGGGAGTAATGACTTCATGACTTACATATGACATGATCTTAATTGGGTCATGACATGAAAAATCTATTTTTTTTTCTTCATTCAAGTCACTTGTATGGGAGCATTTTGACTTCCATGTAAAATGTAATTACGTTGAGGCTCAGTTTATAGATATTATGGTATGAGAAAGCCATAGGAAAGTGCCATTACATTAAGTACAATCACATCAACGTTGTGTCAATGGCAGGACTGATGCATATAAATAAACAGGTTCTATATAGTACACTTAAAATCTTAATCTCTGAAACATCTCACTGTAAACCCTGCTGTTGTCATTACAAAAGATATTAAGTTAATATAACTTGACATTACTTAAAATACCAGGTTTTGGCATGTGTGTTTAACTTACTTATTAGGCAGCAAAACACTTTTAAATAATATTTTAAGTTCGCTGAACTTAACATTTTATTGTCTTTAAGCGATTCACCATGTATCTGTATTAAATGATTGGTTACACTTAAAATTCTGTCTTGACAACCGCATTGGGATGCGTTTCTGAAAACTATCGTTAGCTAACTAAGGTCACAAGTTCCGTCATTCCAAACATAGTTCTTTGTTTTGACGTTTCCGAAATCCGACATTCCAACAAACATTTACAAACTGCGTTGCAAACTTGTGCACTTGCAACTACACATCTGGAGCTGTAGTTAGAAACGTAGTTCCGGGCTGTGTTCTATTCCTAGCTATCCCGCATGCCCTATTCGTTTAGAATGTTCTAACATTTAAACTTGGATTGATTAGAAAAAGCATGAGAGTCATCACTCTTAGGTGTAGTTTGCTTTCAAAGTATTTTTACAGTTCAGTTTTAGCGATCTTCGGGCCCTATCATACACCTGGCGCAATGTGGCACAAGACGCAACGCAATTGCTATTTGCTACTTTCACTTTTCTGCAAGGGTCATTTTGAGGTGTTGCGCCACACTGTTTAAATAGCAAATGCATTTGTGCTCGTATGTGCGTCTATAGGCGTTCTGGTCTAAAAAAGCAGGCGTGTTTTGGCACGTTGCTATTTTGAGAAACTGTTAATAGTCTGTTCTTTAGACCAGAACAAAGTGGGTCTATTGTCTGGCGCAAAGTGTGCCTGGCTTACACACTACACACAAGATGTAGAGCAATACGCAAATATTTTTACATATGAAAAAGATATAATATATAAAGGATATATATAGGATATAAATATAAATGATTAAAATATTACAAAACATATTAATTTCTAGCCTACATGAATTTAAAAACCACTGCCTTCATACTTTCTTCATCTCGGGAGGCTTTTTCAGTTCATTCAATTTGCTTTTGTATAATGTTATTATTATTAGCAGTATTATTTATTACAGTATATCCATGTTTATATTTGTTTTATTAAAAACAAGCTTAGATTTGTCCACCTGTCAGGTTTTAGACCATATGGGGAATAGCAGGTGTATTTGGAAATAACTCAGTATTTTAAACACACTTCGTTATCAATGTTAATTTATTCGTTTGCTGGAAATTAGAACTGAATTTAGAAATAGTTTTGAAACAAATCTTTGCGCTTAACAAACGGAATTAATTATTTATAGGCTAATTGATGTTTGTGCGTAACGAGAGCAAAAGCGAAAGTGAACTTACTTTACGTCCTGTAAATAGCAAATGCGCTCATGACGCGACGCAACTTTCTCTTAAAGGTAATGGGAGATGAGACTCTGATTGGTTTATTCTCAAAACACACCTATAACTCATCAAGAAAATAAACTTAACCCTTTTAGACCATGCGCCATGGCGCAAAACGGATTCTCCCATCCTTAAATTAGCACGTATGGATTCTGACACGCCCTGAAAGCGTTTGCGCCCTGCGTTTTGCACTTTGCGCATGGACCGTCAAAATAGAGCCCAATATGTTTACAATTGCGCTCCCTTCGCAGTGCACTTTGAAAATGTTGACGTCATTTTGAACACAGCAAAGCGGAATTTATGTTACGTCTCCAAAGCTAGTATATTTTTTACTGCCATTGCTCCAAAGCTTGTGAAAAAAAACATAGCATCCCTTAAAGCTTTTAGTTTATAGTAAGTTATCTATTAAGAAATGTAGCCTACTGTATATGTTATCTGCCTAATGGTTAGAACATTTCTGCAGTGGTTTACATGTGTCAAATTGTAAAAGTAGACTTTAAAAAAATAAATAAATAAATAAACAATACCCTACTTATAAATATTACATTTCATTTCTTAATAAATAGCCTTATAATTTATTTCTTTATTTATTTATTTATTTGTTTATTTATATGATTTATTTAGGATATTAGAATACATGTTAGCTTTTGTAAGTGATTTTATGTTTTAGAATAGAATGTGTAATGTTCTCAATAATATTTGTAAAGGAAACAAAGGCCCTATATGTGCCATTTACATATATTTCAATTAATATAGAAAGCAAGTGCATGTTTTTACCAAAACTAATATTAGATTTTTTTATGCATGTGCATGTAAAACAATGTAATTTGCACAAAGAAATGATGGGGTTCTTCTCTAAAGATGTTGTTACCACCATGTTTAGAGCATCATTATGGGTGTTTTACGTTATAACTGACGTGGTTCAAACGAGGGATCTGCAACAAAGAAACTACATGTTTTGGGAAACACTCATCACTACAATGTTCTTTTACCAAACGATGCATCGTACTATGATAGTTTAGCTGCGAGTTACGTGGTTGTTTGGGAAACGCACCCCTGATTGGTCGAAATATGTTATGTGACACAAGGTGGTCATTTTGCTTAGGATGCTGAAATCTGCTGAAGCGCAGCAGGACAGAGGCATTACATGAACCCATCTGACGAAAAATAAAAGTTAAATTAGTAAGTAGATATCTAAATGCTTATATACATTTTTCTTAAAGGGGTGGTCCACTTTGATATCATATTTTAATTGATGAGTAATGTAGCTGTGTGAACATAAACAGCATCTCTAAATGTAAAATGCTCAAAGTTCAACGCAAAGGGAGAACTTAGTTTTTACAAAGTTAGCTTAAACCAAAGCCTACAATGAAAGAATTTTGGGAACTACAAAAAACAAATGCTGTGAGATCACAGAAGTACTTTTACCGTGCACACACGCTGCACAGCTAAGGGCCATGGCCAGAGGTGCTGTAACGTTACAGCTAGGGCTGTGCAAAAATATCGATATATCTAACTATCGCGATAATTTATTTCACGATAGTGTATCGATAGTCCAACCTGAAGTATCGATTCATGTTGTGCCCAACAACCTCCTCCTTTGCTCCAGTAGATGTCGCTAACTCGCTATCAACAAAATGCTAAGTAGTATGGTATCAGAAGTAAGAGTGAGCATGGTGGAAAATATAAAGGAGCCTCCAGCTTTTAGAGCTGACGTGTTTGCACTATGGCTTTAACACTATACCAGAGTACTGAATTAGACAAAAAATGCCATTTGCAAGCTTTGCAAATCTATCTTAAAAAATTCGGGAAACACTACGAACTTGCGTTTGTGGCGAGATGGATGCTTTAATGTTTATTTTTCTCAAGTGCCACTAGGGGGCGCTGCTCCGACCGGTCCTTCCTATCGCTTCCAGACAATACTTCCGGGGGTCGGAAGGAAGCGGAAGGGCAGGTAAACAATCGGAGATTATAAAAGAGGAAGAAAAGGCCAGAGAGGGGGCTTCTTGTTGTTTTGGTGTCGGGTATTTGGTGGTAAGAGTTGGAGAAGAACAGTGTAAGGTGGAGAGCTTGTTGATTTCAATGACTGTGTGAGGAAAAAACTGAGGGGTGGAAGCAATTCGTGGACGTGGTGACCAGGCGATCTCTCTAAGTATTGTGTGCGAGGGGTCTGAAATTCTCGATGGAAAAAGTGGACCTGTGCAGAACGGCTTCGGTGTCCCTGGGTCAGTAACTTTTGTCCATCTGCATCCATTCATACACCCACACATTCCACACACACATTACAACATTATCACATAGGCTTTCTTTACATTTTTTCCCTCTCTTGTTTCCAGTCGATCAGCCACACATTATTATTGTTTGTTTGTTTGTTTGTTTGTTTTCTTTTGGGTTATCTAAACATTATTATTGAAGTGTTTGAATTGTTTGTTTGATGTTTCCTTTTGTTACCTAAGAAGTGCTAATTTTGACTATGATCTATGACTGAACAGTGATTAAAAGTATATATTTTGATTTAGAAAACCTTTTTGTTGTACTGCTTGTTAAAAATATACCAGTTAATTTAATTTAAAGTGTGTGTTGGGTTATCTTTATTTTCTTCTCTTTGTGTGTATGGTGGTTGAGTGTTTGCCGCGGCTATCCAGGGTTTTAATTTAATTTTTGGCAAGTTAATCTTGTCTGGCGCCCAAAGATTTATTAATTCTGGTAACTATTTATTTTTTTTTTTGTTTGAGGTCCGCTGGCAGTGGGATTAAGGGACGTGTGAAAGCCAGCTAGTGCAGTACCCACGTGGACCAGCGGTTGAGCGTTCGGCTGCGGTGCAAGAGGTCCCGTGTTCGAATCCCGCGGAGTTCAGTTTTTTGAGATTTGAATTATTATTTTTTTTTCTTATTATAAACTGTATATAAGATTTATTTATTACAAACAACCACCGTCACATAAGTGGCGCCCGAACAGGGACCTCTTGCACCGCAGCCGAACGCTCAACCGCTGGTCCACGTGGGTACTGCACTAGCTGGCTTTCACACGTCCCTTAATCCCACTGCCAGCGGACCTCAAACAAAAAAAAAAATAAATAGTTACCAGAATTAATAAATCTTTGGGCGCCAGACAAGATTAACTTGCCAAAAATTAAATTAAAACCCTGGATAGCCGCGGCAAACACTCAACCACCATACACACAAAGAGAAGAAAATAAAGATAACCCAACACACACTTTAAATCATCACTTAACAAGACACCACGCAGATAAATTAGCGGCAGTGCGACCTCAACCGAAACCTCTTGATTCAAGGCAAACTACACTGGATAACATCATCAACAAGGTTCTATTTGCCTTAACTAACATTGCAGAGTTACTGAAAACTGCATAGGAAGAATGGGACATAAACTGGAAGGACCTGTCGTTGTAACAGACAACGCTACAAACATGACCATAGCAGCACAGCTGGCCGGCATGTTGCATTTAAAATGTTTCGTGCAAGCCATCAATTTATGTCCGACCAGTTTTCACAGCAAAATGTTTACTATGCTGTCTGTCGCACTGTCAGTTTCTAATAGCCTAGTTTATCGCATATCAGAACACTGTGTTGCAGTTTTATGTTTACTTGATGCATTTAAAAAAATTTTAACTTGCTTTTAGGGATGCTCATTTCCGTTAATTTTCTTAACTGACAACAGCTGCTCATTAATCGGTTATTAACGGTTAACTGGTCAGATTACTATTAATTACATTTTAAACAAATTGAAGTGTCTATTTTGTGTCTGACACATTAAATATTGCATTTTAAAATACTGATTATTTTAACATGCTAGCATATTAATAACAGAACATAACAACAGAGCATTTTCACGCACCTGCAGTGTTTAGCACAGAAGAACAGAATAAACTAAATAAAATAAATAGGACTGCCCTTAATTATTTTCACATAAATAATTCATTTATATTACAAAACGAAAACACTGACTGATTCTTTTTAAGAACCAGCATAGGCTGTTTTTTTTTTTCAATCATAGTTTTTTTCTTCCGTCAAATAAAAATCTCAGACTTCCTCAAATTGCCCGCTCCACGGAAAATAAGCATTTATTTAATTTATTTAATTATATCACAAAACCTTTTTACATTTTTAAGACAAATAATTATTTTAAAGATTATGTCTTGCTATATGGTTTCCTCTCTCCCCCTCGCAGTTCAAGTGTGCTGTGTGATGAAAAGACAATGGCAACGCGCGCATATGTTGATTTTTTGTAAATAGTTTTATTGTTTAAATATGATATTGCATTAATGTGCATACATTATATAAGCTGTAAAATAAAAGGTAAAGCCTATTTGTTGTGTTTATGACGCAGATCCAGGTCAACTTCAGCGCGTGTTTGGCATCAACACGTCTGTATCAAACAGCAATATTCTTCTTCCATTTTGCTTCTTTGGCAAATATGTCTGTAGGCACGGGTTATACGTTATCGTCCCGCAAGTTAACTAGTAGGCCTATGTCTAGCAGTTGAACAAGGGGCCGACCACAGCTAACGTGCTTTTCCATTCCAAAAAAGTGAGGCGCACCACACTCCTTTTATGCTGACGAGGAAAAAAGAAGAAAAGAAGCGCAGCCATGAAATGACTGAATCAGCTGGGTATCGATTGTGCAAAAGTGTTGCTGTCTGTGTTGTTACAATTGTAATATTTAATAATATTGTGATATTCAAGATTTGTACATTCATACAGCTCTGGATAACTTGAAACAGCGATTAGACTTTCAGAGCGGCATTAATGCGTCCTGAAGTAAAGTGAAACGGCTATAAACTCCAGCAAGATAGTGATTATATGCAGATCCATTTACCTTTATCTATAAATAAAGTATAATTATGGGAACTGTGTTCGAATTAACTGAAAGATTCCAAAGGACACGACACAAAGACAGAAGTGCTTACAGTTCAATATTAATTATGTTCCAGAGAATTATAAAACACATAGCAAGCATGATTTGACAAAACAGCTTCCAGAATCTCTCCCAGTTCAATGCTGGATTCGGTTAAAGTCTCCTCAAAGATGGAGCAGCTACAAGTAGACGCTGTGAACTCTGAGCCACGAGCTGTACGTGTTTTTATTTGTTAAAATTGATTATGACATGTAGAGTGTCTAACCTTAACGGTATGTTGTAGCAAAGATGTAAACAACGGGAAATGATGTTCGCCACCACTAATGATTTAGCTACAAATCCATATCAGTCAAACTGCCTTAAACATACACAAACACACACACACACTTCACCGGTGTGTGCAGCCTCTATTTCTATGTGTGTTCGCGACTTTGCATTGTTTCTCTCTATAGGCAGCCTTTCCATACGTTTTACATCTCAGATAATGAAGTCGCAAAAGATATGTGAACAATTCATGTTACTTACACAGGCATATTCCAGATATGTGTGAAAAATGTTGTGTAACGCGTTTATTTAAAAAAAAAAATACAGGAGAGCTCCCCATTATTGGTATGTAACAGCAAAAAAAATCAATCCAGGCTCACACAGGTCGCATCCCACATCTTGTGCTTTATTCTTCTGCCACCTGTGTTACCACAGAAAATAACTTAATCCGAGCATGAGAGAAAAAGAAAAGTAAACATCGCTCCCGTGCACATGCGCTTCTCGTGTTACAGATACTTCATAGTATACATACGCACACACATAAACACACACACACTCTCTTAAAGTAGCCGCACCCCATTTTCACTCGTTGCAGATACTTGTCAGATGTTATTTTAGAGAGGAAGCATGAGGTTGACTGACTGTTTACACAAAAAGCGTGTGCTTGTATGGGCGTGACGAGGCACCGATCCAAGAATCGCAGCACATTATGACACAAGACCAATCAGAGTCACTTGAGGGCGGGCTTTTCAGAGGAACTAGGAAATTTATCAGTCGTTTTCATGTTAGCTGAGTAGCTGTATATAATAAAAGTGAGATATATAAAAAAACAACGTGATTTCCTTCAAGTAAATCATGAGCACACATTGCTTTGCATCTTATTAACACAACCAAGCCTTAAAATTACACTCTGGACCACTCTTTAACTGATATACACGCATGGGTGACATGGTGGCACAGTGGTTAGCATTGTTGCCTCACAGCAAGAAGGTCGCTGGTTCGAGCCCTGGTTAAGTCAGTTGGCATTTCTGTGTGGAGTTTGCATGTTCTGCCCGTGTTCGCGTGGGTTTCCTCTAAGTGCTCCGGTTTACCCTACAAATCCAAAGGCATGCACTAAAGGTGAATTGAATAAACTAAATTTCCGTAGTACATGTATGTCCTGGTCCTCCAGGTTGGTGGTTGAGTGTTGGGCTCAATTTTGGGCTGATTTACAGTATACTTCCGCGACAAGTGCATGCGTATGCTCTGGCGCAACCTGCGCATGGACGCAAAACCCTCGATGTAGCCATTGCTGACACACACCTCTCAAAAAATGTAATTACACATCACAACAATGCAAAGCTCTGTGATTGGTCTGCTTGGTAACGCTGATGTGTAAGAGTGAGACCGAGAACCGTGCGAACCCATTGGAGCGAGTGTATACAGTTATTGAGTCCCATAAATGTGGTCTAGAGAGAAAGTTTTGTCTTATGAGTAAAGTGGTTGCATATCTCCCGGTTCCAGCCTCAAAATGAGCAAGTTCGAGCCACTTGTACATTAAGGTAGTGTTCAGAAAAACAACAGTGGAAGTGTTATTGCAGAGGAAACACAAACAGCGGCAGAAAGTATAAATACTCGACAACGCGCAAGCAATGCGCTGTAGGTCACGCCGATCACTCAATGCATAAGTATGAACCAGGCTAAACAACCTACCTCGTAAAAATTAGATGTTATGAATCACCAACATGGTACGTCTATATATTAAAGTCCTGGGAGTAAGAATAAGTAAGTAAAGAATATAAAAGCTGAAAAATCTGGAAGTTTAGTCTATTAGCCATTTTAAGTTATCTGTACTTAATCATTGAAGTTATCTGTAATTAAACAGTTATGTTAATTCAATGAAGAGACCATATTTGGTCAACTCGATTAATTAAGTTGTAGATTTCCCATTACTCAAAGGAACTGAGGGAATCATTTTCCTCAAATCATTAGGGTTTACAGTGCAGACGAAAGAACTCTCCTTTCAAAAGATATTCATCTATACCATTTTTTAAATGTACTTCATAAAGAAAGCTGTAATCAAACAACAAGCAAAGACAAAATCA